CCTGGGCACCTACCTCAGGCTTTATGGATACCAGGGGTGTTCCTGTGGCTTTTACATGCCTAAACGTTAGGCACTGTGACGTTTGGTGTCAAAACACCTATGTCCCTTCATGAATCTAGACTACTTTTGACAAATGAAATTGGAACTGACATGCTGGAGTCCAGAATGGTAGCTTCAGAGCAGGGCTCATGTCCTGTCCCAATACGAGTGCAACCCAGAGAAGAAAGTAGCATTATCGGGACTGAACAAGATTACAGCTGAGGCAGGGAAGGCCTGGTCTGCACTTAATATGTAGGTTGACACAGTTATGGCATTCAGGGGTGTGAAAAATCCACATCCTTGTGCACTGTACCTATGCCAACCTAACCCTGGCACAGATGCAGGTAGGTCCATGGAAGAATGCTTCCATTAACCCAGCTACTGTCACTTGGAGAGGGAGTGTTCCTACAACAACGGAAAAACCCCTTCCCTTGCTGTGCGCTACGTCTGCACTATTGGGTTATACCAGTGTAACCACAGTGCTGCAGCTATGCCATTTTAATTGCCACCATGTAGACGTGGCCTAGAATGTCCATGAGCTGGACTAAAGATTTTACCTACCCTGAACAAACAGCCATTGTGACCTGTCAGGTTAAGCTGGTGGGTTTGTCTGTGCACTGGTTTCACTGGTTAAGTAACAAGGACCTTCTGTCCTCAACTCAATGGCATTTCTCTGTTGTCTTATGTGTAAGTAACATGACAACTTTTGAAAGCCATATCTGATCAATTCCAAAATTTCAGGGAATGTTCTAGGCATTAATGGACAGAACCCTACTGACTTTTGGGAAAATCAGAAAACTGTAATATCACAGTTGGGTCAGGATACAGGTGTGTGGCAGTTATGTGAGAGTTAGATTAGGGTTAGTAGCCCCTCTCCCCACTCCATCTAGTCCTCTTTTATTTGGGCTCCTCACCCCCCAACATGGCTTAAATTCTCCAAGAGCCCCAGAGCTTGGGACTTCAGCCAGGGCTGGCTCTAGGTTTTTTGCTGCCTCAAGCAAAAAAATTTTTGGCTGCCCCCTCTTTTCGCTTTTACACGTTTGCACTTTGCAATGATTTTTTTTTTCTCACTGTTTAAAATTTAAAAAAATTAAAACAGAGAATTTGTAGTGAGTGAAATAAAACAACTTCCTACTAGTGTACTCATTTAATTTTAACAAAATCATAATTACAAACAATTTAGGTTCAACTATACACTGTAATGAAAAACATCAGTGTCTTCTGGTGCGGCCAGTTTCTCATAAATTAAAAGAATTTATATGAACTGAATGTTTCTGGTTTTTATACTTGTGTAGTCTTTTAATAATTCAGTGAAATCTAAATTTTTTGCAATGGTAGTTTCAACTGAAATTAATGCGAGTCCTGACAAACGATTTTGAGACATGGTGGGCCTCAAATAATTTATTAGTAATTTCAGTTTTGAGAAACTGCGCTCACCAGAAGCCACTGATACTGGCAATGTTAAAAGAATGTGTACTGCTATAGCAGTGTTTGGAGTGAAAAAATCATTTTTTGCTATAAATTCTAATACTTTTAGAGGAGAAGTTTTAGGACTTATTATCTCAGATAAAGCTATTAATTCATCATACAATTCTACTTCATCAATGTTAGCAGCGTTATCAGAACTGAGTGCTAAATGTAGGTCTTGGCAGTGCTTCATGAGGTCTTCTTTGGAAAACTGATTTTTAATATTTCCAATATCATATAAAAATTCAAAAGTTTCACAATGACCATGCAACTGATAAAATCTTTCTTCAATGGAAGTTATAGCTACATCCAAAATACAATAGAAACATCAGTCTTTACCAGTTAGCGAAGATAATCTTTGGTCGGATTGTTGTTCATAGAATCATAGAATATCAGGGTTGGAAGGGACCTCAGGAGGTCATCTAGTCCAACCCCCTGCTCAAAAGCAGGACCCATCCCCAATTAAATCATCCCAGCCAGGGCTTTGACAAGCCTGACCTTAAAAACTTCCAAGGAAGGAGATTCCACCACCTCCCTAGGCAACGCATTCCAGTGTTTCACCACCCTCCTAGTGAAAAAGTTTTTCCTAATATCTAACCTAAACCTCCCCCACTGCAACTTGATAAAGATAATCTTTGGTTCGATTGGTTATGTGTGCAAATACCACCTTGAAAATGTGAGCAGAGTCCTTCTTCACATACAGCTTTTGCACTGACTTAATGGGTTAAAACACTCATTTTACTAAATCATTTCAACCCTCACATTTGAAGAGTGGCTTATTTCAGCTAACTTCACCCTATTCATTATTGACTGAAGCTACACTGCAATTGGCCAATCTTAAATCAAAATAAGAATGTCCACAAATGAGTTTGCATTGATTTAACTAAATCATTTTAAATTCACACCTTATGTTAACATGTTAGCACAACTTCCTTCAGTAACCAAGTACAGAGTGTCAAAGATCTGCCAGTTAATCTGTAGGCTTTGATAATTTCCACTCACCATATTTGCCAACTATCCAATAAATAGTCCATTCTGTTGACAAAATGTGAACGTCACTAACAACTGTACCATAAACTTATGACTGTGTTCTCCTTTTCGCCGGTACAGAACCCCACCCACCCCAGAGGTAAGCTGCAAATGTATAAACTGGTCACACGTGTTTAGACTGGAACTGAGAAGAAGATTTCTAACCATCAGAGGAGTGAGGTTCTGGAACAGCCTCCCATCATGAGGAGCAGTGGCCAAACAACTTCACTAGTTTTAAGATCGAGCTTGGTACATTTATTAATTAGAGTATATGCTGGGGTTGCCTGTAGTAGTATGCAACTGGACTCAGTGACACGGAGTCCCTCCCAGTCCTATGTTCTATTTTATCTATTTTTTTATATAGGTACTGTGCTCCCCCACCATAGAATCTGAGTGCTAATGGTCCCTATGTGCTAATTACTTATGTTAAACAATGTTCCAACTTGCATTTAGCTGTGATGTTCAGAGTACCTTTCCCAGCTCTGAAGAAGAGCTCTCTGTGGCTTGAAAGCTTGTCTCTCTCACCAACAGAATTTGGTCCAGTAAAAGATATTACCTCCCACACCTTATCTCTCTAATACCCTTGGACTGACACAGCTACAACTATGCTGCTGTTCAGTAGTGTGTTAAGCATGTTCCTATGCAATAACACAAAGATCCCGCCAGTGCATCACAAACTCCTGAAGTCTATGGCACACCAGTGCTGCCGGAGCTGTCCAGTGGAGTGTCGTACTGTGGGATAATGTCTTGCAGTTGCGGGGATGTAAGTGGCACTTCCATGAGAGGTGGTTGCAAGAGGGCCGATAGTAGCCTGTATTGTACAATTGTGTTTAAATGTAAGCTCTACCTAATTTTAATAATTGCTGCCCATTTCCTTTTTTTAGTGTTTGGATCCTGAGGTGTGTCCTGCTTTCACACCTTTAATGGGAGGGGAGGTCAATCTAGTTCTTTCCTTTGCTGGTTGTTTCATGGTTAATAAGCCTCCTCTTCGGGAAGGGATTTTTGAACTAGTGAAATCATAGAAGTGTAGGACTGGAAGGGACCTTGAAAGGTCATCTAGTCCAGTCCCCTGCACTCAGAGCAAGACTAAGTATTATCTAGACAATCCCAGACATGTGTTTGTCTAACCTGCTCTTAAAAATCTCCAGTGATGGAGATTCCACAATTTCCCTAGGCAATTTATTCCAGTGTTTAGCCACTGTGACAGTTTGGAAGTTTTTCCTAAGGTCCAACCTAAACCTTTGCTGCAATTGAAGCCCACTGCTTCTTGTCCTATCCTCAGAGGTTAAGGAGAACAATTTTTCTCCCTCCTTCTTGTAACAACCTTTTATGTACTTGAAAACTGTTATCATGTCCCCTCTCAGGCTTCTCTTTTCCAGACTAAACAAGCCCAGTTTTTTCAATCTTTGCTCACAGGTCATGTTTTCTAGACCTTTAATCATTTTTGTTGCTCCTTTCTGGACTTTCTCCAATTTGTCCACATCTTTTCTGAAATGTGGCACTCACAGCTGGACACAATACTCCAGCTGAGGCCTAATCAGCATGGAGTAGATCAGAAGAATTACTTCTTGTGTCTTGCTTACAACACTCCTGCTAATACATCCCAGAATGATGTTTGCTTTTTTTGCAATAGTGTTACACTGTTGACTCATATTCGACTCATCTTTAGCTTGTGAAAAATGATTCTACACCCAACAGAAAATTTTGGCCAAAACCAGCAATATTTTGAATGGGAAATGTCACCACAGTACCTCATGTGAGTTATAGCGTGGATATCTCATGCCTGAATTGTTCTTTATAGGCCAGGTTCACCTATAAGTCCCATGATGCACCATACTTTTCCCTCTTGGGGTACATCTAAACAGCAGCTGGGGGGGTGCATCCCAGAGCGGGTAGACAGACACGTGCTAGCTCTGCTTAAGCTAGTGCACTAAAATAACAGCATAGCCAGGGGTAGTCTGGGTCAGTTTGTATTCAGGTGGCTGGCTCCAGCTGCCGCCCTGGCTCATTCTGCAATTTTCACCGTACTAACATGAGCAGAGCTAGCATGTGCTGTCTGCCCAAGTTGGGAAGCATGCTCCCAGCTGCAGTGCAAGACATACTCTTAGAGAAGGGAGGTGGTGCATCATGGGAGATGTAATCCAGCTGAGAGCCTGGCCCATAGGGGAGAATTGGGACAGGAGGAAGACAACCGAACTATAACTCCCATGAGGCAATGTAGCAACATTTCCAAAGCAAAATATTTCAGGTTCGGGGCATTCAGTTTTTTTGCCAACTCCCCCCCCCCCCCCAACCACCAATCCCCCCTCCCCCGCCCCCCCCAAAAAAACCCCCAGACACTTGACATTTTTCACAAAAACGGGTCAAATCAACCCGCACAATTTTCCATCAAAAATAGTTTTCATGGGAAAGTTTCAACCCATTCTACAGATGTATAGTGCCTCTCTCCTGCGTGGGATCTAGGCACTGCTGCTTTGCACGGGCATCACTGTAATATGCAATAAAGTGTGGGCTGTCATCACAATGGGAACAGTCACAGGGCAGCCCTCCTTCCTGTGTTTCCGCTGATGTGACACGAGTCCTGAGCTGTGACGGAAGTTTTTCCCGCACTCGGGGCATCCATAGGGCTTCTCTCCGGTGTGGAGTCTCTGGTGGGAAGTCAGTTGTGAGCTCACGGTGAAGCTTTTCCCGCAGTCGGGGCATTTATAGGGTTTTTCTCCTGTATGGATCCTCTGGTGCCTGATCAGCTGTGAGCTGCAGCTGAAGGTTTTAGCACAGTCCAGGCACTTGTAGGGCTTTTGCTGCATGTGGGATCTCTGATGGACAATGAGATTTGAACTCCGATTGAAGCTTTTCTCGCAGTCAGGGCATTTATAGGATTTCTCCCCTGTGTGGGTTCTCTGGTGTCTAATGAGCCTGGAGCTGTTCTTGAAACATTTATTGCACTCGAGGCATTTATAGGATCTCTCCCGGGTGTGGGTTTTCTGATGCCTGGTGAGGTGCGAGCTCTCATTGAAACTTTTCCCACACTTGCTGCATTCATAAGGTCTTTCTCCTGTGTGGGTTCTCTGGTGTCTAATAAGGTCAGAGCTGTTCCTGAAACATTTCCCGCACTCAAGGCATTTATAGGGCTTCTCTGCCGTGTGCACTCTCTTGTGAATAACAAGGGTTGAGCTCTGGCCGAAACTCTTTTCACACTCATCACACTTATAGGGTCTCTCTCCTGTGTGGATTTTCTGATGTCTCAGGAGGTAGGAGCTCACGCTGTAGCTTTTCCCACACTCGGGACACTTGTAAGGAAGGTCTCCTGTGTGGGTTCTCTGATGTGCAGAAAGATTGGAGCTGTGATTAAAGCCTTTCCCGCAGTCAGGGCATTTGTAGGGTCTCTCTCCCGTGTGCAGTCTCTGATGGGTAGCAAGGTTTGAACTCCTGCTGAAGCTTCTCCCACATTCATCACAGTGATAGGGCCTCTCTCCCGTGTGGATTCTGTGGTGGTCAATAAGGGCTGATCTCCACCGGAAGTTCTTCCCACACTCACTACACGTGTTCGGTGTCTCTCCAGTGGGAATTTCTTGGTGGATGGTTTCTTTGAGCTCTCTCTCCACAGGCTGTTTTCCTTTCTGCCTAAGGGACCTGCGCAGATTCCACCTGTCAGTCCCCTGCTCCAGGCTCTGGGAAACATTCCCTTCAGGATGTCGCAATAACATCCCGGGCAATTCCACTCGCTTGACACCTTCCTGCTGCAGATTCTCTTCCTCATTCTTTCTCGGTGTCCTATCCCCTGCTGGGACAGAGAGAGAATCCAGACAGGAGCCACTCCCTGTACTGGCAGGAATGGGAACCTCTGAAAGAGAACAAGAAAGGGGGAAACAAACCAAAGAGGAGCTGATTCAGAAGCTGAATACCTGAGAGGAGAAAGGAGGGGACTGATTCTCTTCTACATCCCATCTGAACACTCAGAGAGAGGGAGAGACTGCCAGCTATTTGTTAGGGTGGGTGGGAAGCTATGATGAGTGACATCTGCCATGAGACTATGACCCCTAATGGGGATAATCCTGACCTGGGTGAGAAGAGGCAGAACTGGTGGAGCTCATGGACCTTTTGTGGGAATCTCTGATTTTTGCTTCCCTCACTGATGGTTTCTGAGTTGGTTTAACCACCCCTGGGAGCTCCCTTTCCTCAGAGCCCTGGACAGCCAGGACCCACAGCTCTTCCTTTTGCTCTGGCCAGGAGATGATGCTGGGTTTGGGAATAGGAAATCCTACTCAGGGGACAGAAAGCAAGTGGGATCAAACCTACCCTCTGTTTGCTGAGTGGTTGTTAGGGAGGCTATGCCAGGATTTTAACCCCTTTCTTTGCTGGAGGGACATTTAATACAAACAACAAGGGAAATAGTCCCATATCCTCCTGGGAAAGGCAGCATGTGTGGCCCAGATGCTGAGTCACTAAAGTGAGTTTAGGGATCCACACCGACAGGGAATTTGGAGCCAGATTTTTAAAGGTCTTCAGGTGCTTAAAGATGCATACAGGCTCCTTGGGGGATTTTCAGTAGCGCCGAGGCACCTATCTCCATTGTGCTTTGGAAAATCCCACGAGGCAGCTATCTGCATAGTTTGATGTCTAAATACCCTTGAAAACCTGGCCCTTGGGGACTTAGGCAGCGCTGACTCATGAGACACGAGTCCATCCCTAAATTGGCAGAGGGGTCACAGGCCCCACAGGATGGAACGTTCCCTGGGAAGGAGCGGCTGGGAACATGGAGTTTCTCCCACTTGGGAGCCTTACTTATGGGAAAAGCAGCACCATCATTATGTCCATGAATCTCTGGCCCCGCGGGAGAGGTGCAGAGGGGATGGTCTCTCACACATGGGATATGGGACGATAGAGGTGGCTCCCTCTGAAATCTAAGAGGCCAGGGAACACCCATGAACACAACCCAACCCAGATGCTTCTGGACCCCAGCTTGCAGTACCCAAAGGGACAGGAATCCTTACCCAGCAAGGTCACAGTCTCAGAATTCTTCTGCATGACGTCCCTGTACAGAGCTTTCTGACTGGGGTCCCGCAGAGCCCACTGCCCCAGGAAAATACACAGGCACCTCCTTGAAAGTCACTGGCTTCTGAAACAGCAAGGGTCCCTCACTCAGCACGTGCAGCCACAGCACAATCTCACAAGTTCAGTCACTGGCTCCCCTTCCTCATCCTCCCTTGCCATCTGCCCTATCACCAGGGCTGTTTCCAGCATCACATTGCCAACAGTTAAATAGATGTTCAAATCTCACCCTCTTTATGGCTCTTGGCAGAGTATGCAGAAACCTCATATTAATTTTCACTGTGTTTCTGGCTATTTAGTTTACCTCAGTTTCAGTTTGCCCACCATGCCAGGCCTGCTAGATGGTACATCAGGGAGCTGGGTATGGCTCATTTTTACACTTCTTATATTCAGGGTCTATGCAAAGTCCTACTTGGCTATTGGTGTAAGTTAGAGCAGCCTTAATGCTGCTCTAACTTACACTTTGCTTTCCGCAGGCCCCATGGGCCTCGAGAGACAGAAGAGCTGTCGTGCAGTACGTACTGACCATGCTCCCAACACATGCACACCCAAAAACAGCTATCCCCTAATTCTGGGAACTGTGCTTACACCCCCTTTCTGTAGAGCTACACTGCAATTAGACGTCCGAGGCTGGACTGTGCTAGCCAAATTGGGCTCATGGAGCTCAGGCTGTGGGGTTGTTTCACTGCTGTGTAGATGTCTGGTCTTGGGCTGTAGCCCAGGCTCGAGGACACTGTGATGTAGGAGGATTTAAAAACATGGCCTTCAGTGAATATTTGGCAACCAAATTCTACAGACTGTGAATAATTTGAACAACTGTATTGTCAAGCTTGAACTGAACAAAAGTATTGTCAATGTTAGGCCTCAAACTTCCGGAAGCTCTAGAAAGCAAGCTTTGCAAAAGGAAGTTAAGACTTGTGGTCAGGATGCGCTGTAACCAGGCAACTTTTTGCTGACTCCTATGAACTAAGCCAGTGGTCCCCAACTTTTCTGTGGGAATAGCACATTCCTATTCCCAAAGGATTGTGGTGGGTGCCAGACACCCTGCCGCCGAAAAGTGGCAACGGAAATAAGCGACGCCACTGAAATGTGGCCAAGAAATGTGGCCAACACTTCTTGGCGGCATTTCGGCGGGCAGTTCTCCAGCAGCCGCGCTCGGCAGCGACATTTCAGCGGCGTGGTGTCCTGCAGGCACACACAACTACCCTGGCAGGCGCCATTGCACCCGCGGGCACCGTGTGGGGGACCCCTGAACTAAGCAAACCCACATTAACCACACTTAAAACTCAATTGGCTACAGGAGATAAATAGGCCTAAATTATATGAAAATTGGCTATAAGGAGATAGGTATGCATCAATTATACAACTGGGGCAACCACACTGACCACATTAACGATGTGCTCCACCCTGATTGGTTGGTCTGTTTTGAAACACGGCCAACAGATCAGATAAAAACTACAAAGGCACGGCACTGTGTGTGTGTTTTTGGTCATAAGGGAAACCTGACCCACACCCCCTGAACCAAAGGGACGTGCACTTATCGACTGTCTGTACCTGGCCAGTGCAGAAAACGACTGACTGAAGGGTAATGTATTTTTCAGACAAATGCAGGGTAAGATTATGGAGTAAAGTAGTTTGGTTGCTTGAGCTAAATTGATCTCAGTTGTATCAATACTGTAGTGTAAAACCAGTGGTAAATAACTGGTGGATAATAGCTTTACATATGCTTGTCTTCAGGGCTTTCAGTATAACCTGCCAGGACCAGTGTATGTAGGGTTGCTGTTCATTAGCTCCTTAATGGTTCATAACATGTACCTGTGCTTGTCTTCAGTATAATCTGCCATTTATATTAATTCTTATCCAAAGCTGGTCTTTACTTTTTCTTATTTTCTCTGTGCTGCTTTTATAGTAAAAAATCATTAAAAACCTTTTTTGAGGAATAACTAGTAGTTTTAATTTTTCTTATACAGGCACTACTCAACCTCATTACATCTGTGTTGGGTGGTGGGAAGTAGCGATCACCCAGGGCCCAATTACGGTCCTGACGTGTACCCCCTTCTTCCTTTATCTCCGTATGTAGAAAAAGCACTAGAGTGCTGGATAGAAAGACAAAATAACAGTTGACAAAGGCAGTCACCACTGGTGGATCAAAGAAATGAAAGACGTTTTGACACCAACCCAGGAAATCAGAATGCCTTCAAGAAATATGATCTCAAAGAATAAACTTGTGTATTAAAAAAAAAGAAAATCTCCCCGCAGGAAATTTTAAAATTAAAATGTTGCAAGGCAAATGGGAAGTGTTATACTAGAAACACCGTGAGATGGGATTGCTGAAGCCACTAGCGAATTAATATTTTCAGTGATTATTTGCTATTAAAAATATGTACAGTGATGCACGACATCCACATGAAGAATGTTAAGGCAGGTACGTTATGAAGTGCTCAGAGTGAGCAAAAGAATAGTTTAAAAATAAAATGACAAAGGAATGCAACTAGGTTCCATGGAACACAAGAAAAAGGCAGAGCAATTCAGGCAATGAGAATAGCAGCTAGGGCATTTTGTGAACTGCCATGAGGTTTTATGCAGTCACAGAAACTGATAAGGGACTCTTTCAAACCTTAAAAACATGTCTGACATCGGGGGGGGGGGGGGGGGCTGTATGTAAAATATGTCACTGAACCAAGTCTCCTTTGGCAGCTCAGTACAACATGCTATTTAAGGAAGATCTGCCTGGCCTATGCATTGGGCTGCCCTGTGCCTTTAAGAACTCAACCCTAGAAAGTGGGTGCTGAGCTGCGGAAGGGAGGGCCGAGAGCAGCTCCTATTAATAGAGCACACTCGATTTTTGCAAAGACTGCAGATGGCTCCCCCCACGTCTGGGGTCACTTCTATCGCCTCTGCCGCTCCCTATCGCGGGGTTTCCCCTCTGCCACTGGCTGGCAGTGCCTGTATCTGTTCTTAACCCCGCTGCCTACCCCCTGCCCTGATGTTGCCCCTTGGCCCCTCTCCTGGCCCTGCCTCCAGCTGTGTGACACCCGCCGCCCAGTCAGTCTGGCCCCTGCACGGACTTGGCCCCTCCGATTTGCCCCCGCGAGCGCGCTGTGCAGGGTGGGAGCCGGGGCACCAGCAGGTGGGACTGAGCAGCAGATGGTGCCATAGCCCCGGCCCCGGCCTTTCCCCCGGGTCTCTCCCCTCACCTGCAGGCTCCGGCTCAGGGGCTGGTGTCGGCAGAGCCCGGGGCTGCTTCCAGCCCCCGGAGAAAGTCCCCGCGGCTGGGCCCCGAGGGGCGCTGGGGAAGGGCTCTCCCCGCACACACCCCGCTGGGCAGCGGCAGCGGCTCAGCCCGGGCTCCCGGCTCACGATGGAGGCGGCGGCAGCGTCTGACCCGGGAAGCTCAGCCCCGGATCCGCTCAAAGACAGAGAGAGCAGCCGCCTCCCTCCCGGATGGGCAGAGTTGCGCTGCGCGGCGGCGGCAGGGGGCATTAACTCTTCAGCTGCCAGGAGGCAGCGAGGGCTCGCAGTGTCAGGGCCTCCGAGCTCGGCGGAGACAGGCTGTGATCGCCTCGGGCACATCCCTGGGGGGAGTGGGGCAAAGGGAGGTTCTGGGGAAGGATCCTTTGACCCCCACGCCGGGCACTGCTGCAATGGGGGGTGTGCAGAGCTGGAAGCGCTCAGTCTCTCTGACCAGCATACGGGGGTAGTGGTGGTGTGAGAGCTTCCTGGGTCAGTCGCTGTTGCTGCCCAGCGGGGTGTGTGCGGGGAGAGCCCTTCCCCAGCGCCCCTCTGGGCCCAGCGGGGGGACTTTCTCCGGGGGCTGGAACCAGCCCCTGAGCCGGAGCCTGCAGGTGAGGGGGGAGACCCGGGGGAAGGGTTGGGGCCGGGCAGGAAAGTGACTCTGCACCAACGGCCCCTCCTCGCCCCAGCTCTGCTCCCGGGGGGGGCGGGGGTCTGCGAGTCTTGGAGCTGCCGCCCTCCCTGACCCTGCCCCAGGCTCTGACCCCCTGAGCGCCAGCTCCGGGAGTGCCACCTGGGAAGAGCGAACTAAGAGCTGCATCAAATGTTCCAAATGAAAAAAATAATCAGTGTATATGCAGGGCTAGGGGTGTCAGGAGTGGGGTTCACACAGGGGATGGTGTCGGGGTGCGCAGCTTTGGGAGAGCAGGCAGTGATGGTGTTAATCATAGGAAAAACATCTCTAGCCCATCTTCCAACATGTTGTGGGGAAGTGCTAATATAAACCTGATTGGTTAGAATCATTATAGACACAGGTTTCAGAGTAACAGCCGTGTTAGTCTGTATTCACAAAAAGAAAAGGAGTACTTGTGGCACCTTAGAGACTAACCAATTTATTTGAGCATGAGCTTTCGTGAGCTACAGCTCCCTTCATCGGATGCATACCGTGGAAACTGCAGAAGACATTATATACACACAGAGACCATGAAACAATACCTCCTCCCACCCCACTGTCCTGCTGGTAATAGCTTATCTAAAGTGATCATCAAGTTGGGCCATTTCCAGCACAAATCCAGGTTTTCTCACCCTCCGCCCCCCCACACACAAACTCACTCTCCTGCTGGTAATAGCCCATCCAAAGTGACCACTCTCTTCACAATGGCCCAACTTGATGATCACTTTAGATAAGCTATTACCAGCAGGACAGTGGGGTGGGAGGAGGTATTGTTTCATGGTCTCTGTGTGTATATAATGTCTTCTGCAGTTTCCACGGTATGCATCCGATGAAGGGAGCTGTAGCTCACGAAAGCTCATGCTCAAATAAATTGGTTAGTCTCTAAGGTGCCACAAATACTCCTTTTCATTATAGACACACATTATAGCTACTACTGTGACATAGCAATGGAATGTGGATGCTGAGACTAATGCAAAGGAGTAACATAGTATTCATTAAAAAAATTCCTTATTGGTTTTGGAAGAACAAACAAAAAGTAAACTTGTCAGAATGATGAACACTACTGAAATGTATCCTTCCAAAAATTTACCACAGAGAAAAGGCCATGACATAGGGTTGTACCTTTGATGTACAAAATCCAGAACATGTGGGATGATCGCAGATCAACGGGACAGCTGGCAGTGTTTTGATAATGCTTATGGATTTCCTAGACAGCTACACTGGCACTGTGTACTAAATAAGCACCTTGACAGATGTCCCAGACAGCTACCTCAAAAAAAGAGATGAGCCTGGGAAAACTTGGAGAGGTGGCTCGGAAAGTAAGTTGTCCAATTAGAACAATAAGCATTTCAGGAGAAAAATTAACACTGATGTAGCTTACAGGTAATAAAGCATGGCAGGATGGTAGAATTAGTTGCAGCATTGTTGTGGTTTTTATTAGAAAGGGGTGAAAACTACATATTTGAAGTTGTCATTTTCGCCATAAGGTTTTTGTGGGAGAACTAACAGCCAATAAATGGGTGCAGTATCAGCCTGCAGACTATGCCGTCTGTGCAGAAAAAAAGTTAAACAAGTCATTAACTTTACATACACAGTGCAAATATTCTCATTGATACCAATGTGGTGGGTGTTAGACACTGGTGATTTTATCGTGAGTATGGCAGTATTTGGTGGTTTAATTCTCAAAACAGAAGCTTCTGGGATTATTGGGTAGGAAAGGTTCAATTTATTAAGTGTACATAGTCGCCATTTTGGGTTGGTAAAAGGACAACCTGTCCTCCATCTTGGCACCCCTTCTCCTTCAGCTTTTTGGCACCAAAACAAGGAAAAAGGCGGGAAAGATAGTGTCTCGTGGGCCTGGCAGTAAAATCTGCATAGCAACAGAGAAAGCATATAAGGGAGTGTCACCCTCTGAAGGGCACTCTGTGTCTCTGGATGTTGTGAAAGCAAGTCTTCATGCCAGTGCGGCTTAGAAGCCCTCCCACAGAATACCAGCCTTGCTATTAGCTAGAGCTCTGAGGGATTAGGACTTGAGGTAAACAAGTAACATCTACTAAAGTTCCCTTAACTTACCTCCACTCACCTGTTCCATCATCATGTGAGATAGTGTTTGAATTCAGCACGCAGGATGATGAGATCAAGAATAGAAGACAGAAGACAACATACTGAAGATCTATTTACCTGTCACTGAAGTTCCTGAGATCTGGTTCTTGTTGTGTTCCTGTTCCTGCCACCTGTCCCTGAGACCCTGGCTCCCGTCTGTGTTCCTGTTCCTGTTCTCCTGTCCACTGTCTGCAAGACATGGTATCGTCCTTCTTGTTTAGTCCTATGTACCCCATTGGGTATAGGGTTTGGGGCTCTGGGGTTCATCCCCATTTCCATCATCTGTGTTAACAACTGAGCTGTTATTCTTTGTGTTATCTTAGTTGCAGGAAGTCCTAGTTTATTGTGTATCTCAATAAACACCATTTTGTTGTTTGCAACCTTAATCTGCCTTTGTCTTAAATACACAGTTACCGATGATAGATGTGGAAGGGGTAAAACACTGCAGATAGCACATCTTCTGTAAAATAAAACCTAGTTCCAACTGTCTCAGGCTAACAGGATCAAGAGTTTGATTGAGAATTAAAGCTTTCATTAAGAATAATAATCATAAAAATGATTCTAACCTTCATGATTGTTGAGAAAAAATCTAGTGCACATTAAAGGGACAGAAAAAAGGCAAACAAAAAGCCCCAAGTGTGTGTGCGTGCATTAGATGTTTAGTAAAAATTTACAGTAGAAATTTTCCTTTGAGAGGGATTCATACAATATAGTGTTACCTCCTTTTCACCTGAGCAGATAGCCAAAGGTCAGGGCCTGTGGGTTGTTCCAGTTGGGAGGAGAATACGACAATGGAGTCTGGGACCTTTTTGTGCAATCTTGTTTGTTCACAAAGTCCTGTTTCGGTGAATGCAGGATGGACCAAATGCCCCCACCTCCACCTGCAGCCCCCAAAACAAAACAGATGACAACTTATTTTCCTTACAGCACCAACCTCTAGCAGCTAGCTTGTTGAGGCTGGGTTTACATGCACCCCCTCCTCTCAGCAGAGCTCTCTCCCAACATAGCTCAAACTCCCTGGTGGCCTTCAGTGTACCCACTGCTATTGTGTTTTTGCTATCCTGTCTTACTTTTAAGGATGGATGCCTCATTCGTCGATGTAAAGGGCTTTAACCTGTCCTATAACAATAGCACAGTGCCCTTAGTGAACATTTGCAAAATAAGGAAACCATGGATGAGGAAGCACAATGAGATCCATACAGAAAATATTAACCAGGGTGAATGATAGAGTGCTAGCAACAACAAGAATAATAGAAATAACATGTAAAATAAATAACAAAAAGGATGGAAACTACATTGGCAGTGGATTGCAGGAAAGGGAGTGGATTCGGGCAATCAGAACAGCACATAGGACAGCTCTTGCTCCATGCTCTGAGTTTCCCTGTCTGCCCCTCTCCTCTTGCCTCCACCAGTTTCACCATGCCTCTGGACACCATTCTACCGCCTCCACAAATCTCCCCTCCCTTCTCGTTTTCCCTCTCTGCTCAACTTTTAGCACCATCTATGGGCAGGAGTGGACCGTGATGGTAATATGAACGGAGTGAGGGCAGCAGTTTCAGCAGATGTCACTGAGCAATTTCAGATCACTGCAGTCTGCTCTGGAACAGTAAAGGAGCAAATTCTGAAGGAAGCAGTCTCCCACTTGATCCTTCCTTTGCTGTGTTCCTGTCTGAGGTGCGGGGGAGGGAGCAACTCTTCCTGCTGGGACAGCAAAATAAATAGCTCCAGAGTTGATGGGAACCTGGCCTCTGGGGCTGGCTAGAGCCCTGGATAGCAGCAGCAGCAGGGGTCATGGGCGGCAGGTGAACCCCCTTCAGGGAGGCCAGCCACCAAGACCCACCCCTTCCACCCAAGGCCCTGCCCTAACCCTACCCCTTCCGGCCTCCTCATCTGCTGCAGCTGGAGGAGCCATGGGTGAACCATCCTGATCCCCAGCCACTGGCCAGCCTGAGCATTGGCCTGACCCTAGACCGGCCTGAGCTGCCTCAGGCCGCCAGCCGGCCCGAGCTGCCCCAACCCACTGCCTGAGCTGATCCCCCACTAGCTTTGGGGGAGAAAAAGGGGGAGCAAGGGGTGCCTGCCACCCGGTTTCACTGCCACCCAGTTTCACTGGGAGTCTCCCAGAATCGGGCTCTATCTCCCAGAGGCTACTGAAGCCACTCCAGGAGATTTTAGACTGCTAAAAGTCTGGTGGCACAGCAGGGCTATGGCAGGCTCCTGGCCTGCCCTGGTCCCATGCCACTCCCAGAAGCGGCCGGGGGTAGCAGGTCTCTGCATGCAGCCTCCGCCCCAAGCGCTGACTCCACAGCT